CCTACGGAATGTGCAACTTCTGAATTATTGATTTTTAAGCCTAAGAACTGCACCGAAAACGAATTATAACTGAAATTGAATTATAAGTACAAACGAACTAGCAGATTAGGACCTCAGATAAAAACCCTAATTAATAAAACGAAAGGCTAACTCCATTGTTCCACAGACTTATGAAAAAGGAAGACTTCCTCTAAATGATTTTAAAAATCCACAGCTACTTTGCGCTTCTTTTGTCAGTTGTTTTTTTTGTCATGAACTCTAGAAATTGGAACAAAGTCTCCCAATTCTTCTGTTTTTAGATAAAAGAGAAAAATTGGAAAAATAGATTCGAATTTCAAGGTCTCGATACTTGTGCCAATTTCTCCTGAGTTACTGCTTCCAGTTTTGGCAAAAATTTTTACCAAACTGCAATTCAAGCATCCGATTAGAACTTTCCTTTGTCACTTACTCTGACTGTAGAACTTCTGTTTTATTTATCACTCTGCAAAATCTGATGAAGTAAACACTGTATTTTTCTTCAAGGATTATCAAAATTCGATTAGCTTCTCATTTAGGAAATAAACGCAATATTTCCATTCGAACACCGCCTGGGTGTCAGTGGAATTTATTAGGATTTCGTAAAGCACTCCGAGGGATTTGCAAACACTCAATTCCGAACGTTAGTAATACGGGAAAATTTAGCTGCAGGCACAACGTAGAATCCGTAGCATTTACGCGCCGAACGTCATGTAATGCAATGCTGAAATGAATCCTACGGAATTCTAAGTGAGAGAACCCCTTGCCAAAAACAGCTGCCGTAGCAATCCATCGGGAAAAAAACATCCTTGTTTCACAAATGTTCCTCAAATATTTTAGAATGTTAATTTAACAGATATGACCCCACCGATACAAATTCATTCGAAACTCACTAAAAATTCATTGAGGTTACAAGTTTTCAAGAAGTTTCCAATGATTTCGTATCAGTAGAAGAAAAGTTCGAAAATGTTTTTAGGAACGTTTTAGAACAAGGATATTTTTATCGACTCGGATTTATTTAAGACAAACTAACTGAAACCATCGATAGTTGCTACAAAATATACTATGGTTGTTTTTTTTGTCCACTGCTACGATTCCAAATGATAATCTAAAAGCATTCATTCAACAGTACAAGAATTTTCCTTTTGCATTTGCTTTGCAATGAAGTTAAGAGACAACATGAAATGCAGTAGATGCGGGATACTAAGACAGACCTAAAGCTCCATTGGGGTTAAAACTCAACAAGAACTTTACAGAAGATCTTCTAAAACTTAGAATTAGAACTGTGGTCCATTTACTTCGGTGTCATGACTTTCTCAACTACCATCAGCACAAAATAAGATAAGTTGCACCCAAGTGTAGAATATGTGAATTGAATAAGCAATCATCGATTGATATCTTCTGTCACTATTCAATATTTACTGGAGTTAGAAATCGTGGTTGAGGGTCAAATGACCTAGAATGGATTATCGGTCTATCAATAGAGCTGAGTTCCGAGACTTCTGAAGAAGGAAGGATCTTTCTGATTAGATCGACTATATTTTTCCAGCTAACAGGAAGTTAGATAGGGTTACAACTTAGGTGACAATTCTCGTAATAGAAAACCCCGGATTAGGCTCGTCTTAAACTAGATGAAATTAGATTTGCTACAACTACCATCGATTCATGTTCAACTTTCTTATTTTCTTTTTAGAAAAGTTTGCTACAACCAAAAAGTTTTGCTAATACCAAACTACTTTGCACTTGAACTCTCAATTCTTTTAATTTCGCCTCTTTAACTTCTTTGGATCCTCATCAAAAACAGTTTTCATCTTCTTTTCAGTTTATTAACACTTTTAGAAACTTTAGAGCAACTGCGGTTAAAATTCTTTGAGATTTAACACCTCATATTTTTTTTTGGATAGAAATATAATTTTTATTAATTTTCTGTAAATGCCTGACAATAAAATTTCAATTAAATCGAATAATTGCAAAATTTCATTGGAGCTCCGACTATCGCCAACACTTCTAATTTATAGCTGCGTCGTATTTCTCATCTGATTTATTACTTTTTCAATTAGCATAATGCAGCGAATGTCAATTCTTGATGTTCCGATGCAGGATGATTTTTGCCACTGCAGCAAATCCTGCAATAAACTTTCTAAAAAAAAAAAATCCTATCAACTCTAAAATACTTTGTGATTTTACATTCTTATTTTTTGGAAAAGATTCAACTGTATGCGATATTTTAACAGATATTTGCGGTTTGGTTGAATTCTACAGTAAGAAAAGAAAAATTACAGAAACTTGAAGAAAGAAGATAAATTCACACCTTATATATATATTTAGTACTAAAATTAGGAGAAATCTAAAGTATTATTGAAACTACATTATAGAGAATTGGAAAAGCATAATAATTACAGCAAACTTTCTAATTGGTTCATTGATTGGCAGGATCCAATCTTAGGGAAATTATTACAATAATGTGATAATTTGTTTTTGGTAACTTTTGAATAAAATTTATTTACTGATACTTAAAGTCTCAGAAAAATTTTAATTTTCTATTATAAAATTGTTGATATTTAAAAATGTAACTTTTTTTATCACACGTTTTTTAGAGTTATCCATATGACCCCATACAAAAAAATAACAAGTACACTGTACTCGAATCGAGAAATTTTTTTAAAAATAAATTTGGCAACAATTAGATGAACCTAATTCGAGGTCGCTGATTACGAATCTGGTATCAGTTTTTCAAAATTCAAAATGGCGGATATCAAAAATTATTTGGATTTGCTTAAAAATTGGTACTCGGGGGTTTTCGGGGTCGCTGATTACGAATCCGGTATCAGTTTTTCAAAATTCAAAATGGCGGATATCAAAAATTATTTGGATTTGCTTAAAAATTGGTACTCGGGGGTTTTTGGGGTCGCTGATTACGAATCCGGTTATCAGTTTTTCAAAATTCAAAATAGCGGACAAAATTTTCAAAAATTATTTGAATTTGCTTAAAAATTGGTACTCGGGGATTTTTGGGGTCGCTGATTACGAATTCGATGTTAGTTTTTTAAAATCCAAAATGTCGGATCCAATATGGCGGACAAATTTTTAAAAATTCAACGGATTCACTTGAAATACGTCACTCGGGGGTTTTCGGGGTCGGCACTTTTCTATAATTTTAAAAAATTTATCGTTTTCGCTTGAGATAAATTTGTTCAAATTTTGAACTAGTACAGTGATTATAAACTTTTTTAGAGTCTATTCTATATAATGTTCATAAATAAAACTGTTTTTTAATCGTTTCTACTTTTTTTTTAGAAAAAAATATAAAATTTACATAATCAATATTTTCTATTTAGCTACATATGTATATATCTGACAAAATAATTCAGATTTGTTTCAACAGCAATTTAACAATTAAAGCTTTAGAATTGTCAGGAGAGATGTGTCCTTTCAGGGGAAATTACCATCATAAATAGCCTCGGAATTGCATCTATTTTATTGTGTACCAACAAACAATATACCTTATGCTTCTTTTATGAAATCCATTTAAAAGCTCATAACTCACATTTTCTTCATAATCATTAAATAGTTGTTTGATATAAAGCAAATTTTCATTTTAAATATCATCTCTATTTTTTTTCAAATAATATTATTATAGATTTTTTTTAAGCAAAGAAATTAATATTATTATTATTATTTTAAATAATGATTAATAGTTATTAATTACTAATAAAAATTTTATTAACTACTTGTAATTATTATCTTTTGTGATATGACGCTATCGCGAAAACTTTATTAGCCGTAAAAGCTTCTGACATTAAAAGTGACATTATAAGTTGTTCATTTCTATAACTTTAAAACATTTTTCTAAACGATTTTTTTTTTTTTTATTTCTTTTTGAAAATATCCTTTTTTTTTTACTTCAATTTGGTTTTCTTTTTCATCAACTGTAATAAAGATTCCTTTTTAAATCTATAAAGCAATATATTCTTTTTAGATGAGATGTTAAAAGAAAAACACGTGTAGGTTGAAAAGAAATGTTTCAAATGTTAAATGTTAAAAATAGGAATCAAAATCTTTGTGTGTTCTACTTTGAGTGAAGTTTCTAAATTTATAGTCTTTTTAGAATTAAGGAAATCTTTTAGATAGGAAAAAAAAATGATATTATTTTTCCCACTCATATAGAAAAAAAAATTTTTTAATTTTGTTTTGATTATTATTGTTATTATTACTATTATTATATTTACACGGAGAAAAATGGAAAAACGAATAAAGTACTTTAAAAAAGTAAAACCGGAATTGTCCGCAGCTTCTGCGCAGTTCTGGCAATTTTTACTCCAGAAATAGTAAAATTTATTCCGCAAATAATAAAATTTACTCCTGAAATAGTAGAAATTATTTCGGAAATAGTAAATTTTACTGTTTAAAAATAAAAGTTACTTTATTCGTTTTTCCATTTTTCTCCGTGTAGTAGATAATATTTCAAAATCTGGAATGCAAAAATCGCAATGATAGAGATAAAGTTAGAGAGGTTAGGTGTCAAACATTTCTGATTGGTTCGTTATATTTCCGGAAACATTATAGGAGCCAATCAGAAATATTTGATAACCTCAAACCTTATTTTCAATTAATATTATCTTCAACCATTTCTGATTATAGATTTTATATTATTTTCGGAAGTATATGAGTAAAAATTTGAATGAAAAAATATTTTTAAGAATCATGTCACTTAAAATAAGTCACGTTTCGCACTAACAATATAATTCATGGTTTTTGATGCTTCTAATAGTGTCATATAAAAGTCACGTTATATAATAGGTCAAACACACACACATACACACAAAAAAAAGCTTTTAAGAATATAATGACCTACTGTAGCTGTACAGTTACTATTATCTATTTTTTTTTCTTCTTTCTTTTAAAATTCAGAAATGAAAGGAAGTTTTTTTTGTATAAACGAGGCTCATTATAATACGTGAAAATAAGAAGAAAAAAAAACATACCTTATCAGGTAATGGTGCGGCCACGTGGGGGTGGAGGATGCGGAAGTGGTTGAATGTCGTGCTGGCTATATTTATATATATATATATATAAATATATAAATAAGACGCAATCACTCAGAAAGCAGGTTAATGTCAAACTTGTTTGAATAGAGCAGTAGAAACGGCAAAAACATGTGCAACCTCAACCAAACATTTGTGGAAAACGTCTCTTTGCACTTTTCCAGCCTACATCAAGTCGACTGCATCGATAAATCCAATCGTCTGCCGTCTTCCCTTTATCCATGCTTCTTCTTCTTTCTCTGTTGGACGTTTGTACGCATCGATGCCGCGCTCTAGAAAAATAAAAAGAAAAAGAAAATAAAAGTCTAGCGCTTTATTATTAACTCAGAGAGTGATTTATGACTTTTCCCAACGAATCTGTCCAAATCGTTAGACAGGCATTCTCCTTCCCTCCTTGTAATAACCAAGAATGAAGATGGGGCTGAAAAGCAGACACATCAAACTTTTTTCCTTTTTCATTTTTATTTTATTTTTTTTTTTTTTTTTAAGGAAAAAAATAAGAGTACGTATACGCTTTTCTCTGCCTCTTCTTATAATATTGAGATCAAATTTCTTGGTTCAATTTATTCAGAGAGAAAAAGATGTAATGTGAATGGGATTATTCTACATATACTCTCTAAATCTGAATCAGTAGAAATTTTACTAATTCAATCAGTACTTTTCATTTTAACTAAAGTTTCAGTTATTTTTTGAAATTTATTAATATAATTAATGAATATGCAAGCAATGGAAAATAACTTATGTAAATCAGTAATTTGTATATAACATAACCTTTAAAATTAACTATTAAATCAGTAGATTTTGTGGCCTCCGCCATATATTTATATTACTGATTCAATCAGTAATTGATATTTTACTAATTGAATCAGTAAATTTCTACTAATTAGCAGTTGCTCAATTCTCGCTATGGCAATTAGTAGATTTCTACTGCTAATCAGTAAAATATGACTAATTCAGATTTAGAGAGTACATATATATATATATATAAATGTCGTAGGCAATTAAAAGAATTCGTAATTTAGCTAAATGCCTAGGCGATTAGGTAAATGACGCCAAATAGACAAATGGACTTGGAAATTGATTAAATTCGCCTACCTGCCTGAATAGATTAGTCATTTAGCTAAGTGACTAGGCATTTTGCTATTTTCCTAAAGCTGTGTCGGCAAATAGAAGAAAATGATTATCACATAGAAATTATAAAACAAGAGCTTGAAACAAAATAAATTTAATTTCTAAAACAAACGTTAGAGATGTACATTTAATTTATAGAAATTATAAACAGGAGCCTTTTGATTTCCTTAACATTTATGAGGTAATAATGAATTACGAAAATGGCGTATATATCAAATTGGCACAAAAGATGGTCTACTCAAAAGGTTGGTTTCCTTGAGCTGAAATCAAGAAATCTGGCAGCAATGTTATATAACATTTTTTGACGTACCAACAGACACGCTAATATCTCTGAGAGAAGCAGCAGCAGCAGCTAAGCAGTCTATCAGTGGTGGTCAGGGCTTTAAACAACCCACTTGGAAAGATTCCCCGGAAAGTGACCCCTGGCAGTTCTATCAGAATTCCGCCGGAACTTCCAAAGAAATTCCGATAGGATTCCGACGGAATTAGGACTCTAAAAATTTTGAATAAAATTAATCGGAATTCCGTCAGAATTCCGTCGGAACTCTTTCCAAGTGAGAATGTACTTAATTGTAATGCCAGTCAATCACAATGTAAAACCAAACGATGCATTTGTTTCAAATCGGGTACTCTATGTTATTCTCGTTGCCATCAGAGCCAACCATGTTTCAATAAATAAGTAAAATTTTAATTTAACTTGACAAATAATTAATAATTAGCATTTAAATATTTTTTCTTTCAGATAACCCGAAACAATTTTTCTCATCATTTCATGTAAACTATAATATGTAATTCAATTTCTATGTATTAACCATTTTCTTCTATTTGCCGACACAGCATCAGGTAACTAGCCAAATGCCTAATCACTTAGCTAAATGACTAATCTATTTAGACAAGTAGACGAATTTAATCATTTTCCAAGTCCATTCGTCTATTTAACGCCATTTACCTGATCGCCTAGGCATTTAGCTAATTGCCCACCGATTTGGCCTGTAGAGAAAGGGGATCAACTTTGGCGCCCTCTATAGACAACAAATTAAATTTTTTTTTAAGTATAAATATATTTTCGTAAACTGAAAAAGTTAACAAATAAACTCCTTGAAACCAAATTTTGTTTACTTGATTCTTGTGTCTTAAAAAAATTCATGAAAAACAGGTTCAAAAGAGACCTCAAAGGTGTCACTCCCCCTTAACAATGCAAGTATATGTTTATATATTTATTATTATTATTATTATTTATAAATATTAATTACATAAATTTCCTTAATATTTAATTAATTAACCTATTTTAATTTAAAAGTTGATTTTCATAAAAAAGAACATTTTAACTGTTAACAAAAACTATTCCTACTGAAAATTAATTTCAAAATAATTTATAAAAATTAATGTTGATTAGAAAATATTTTAGCTAAACATAAAAAAGAATAAATTTGACATTTATAATTTTTTTTTTTTTTTATTGTATTTTAAACATTTTATTATATTAAAGCACTTGATATAAAGTACGCTAATTTTTACCAATGATGATTATACTCTCTAAATTTGAATTAGCGACTATTCGCTTATTCGTAGCTGCATACTCTGAACTGATCAAAATAGCGACTATTCACGCTAGCAATTAGCGACTATTCGCTAGTAATTAGCGAATTTTCAATGAGTGATTATTCACTTATTCCCAGCTGCATAATCTGCGCTAGGAATAAGCGAATAGTCACTAATTCAAAGCGAATAGTCGCTAATTCAGATTTAAAGAGTAGCCGCGCAAGCGTAGTTGCGTTTAGTACACGGAGAAAAATGAAAAAACGAATAAAGTAACTTTTACTACTTTAAATATAAAATCAGAACTATCTGCAGTTTCTGCGCATTTCTGTCAATTTTTACTCTAGAAATAGTAAAATTTACTCCTAAAATAGTAAAAATTATTTCGGAAGTAGAAAATTTTACTATTTTTGGAGTAAAAATTGTTAGAAATGCGCAGAAACTGACGACAGTTTCGGTTTTAAGGCGCTCTCACACGTTTTTGTCTACCTGCCGGTTACCATGGCAACGCATGAGAGTGAGTGCGACAGAAAATTTAAATATTCAAATTTTCTGTCTCACTCACACTCGTGCCTTGCCATGGTAACCTACATGCAGGCAGGCAGCCAAAAAGGTGTGAATGCGCCATTACGATTACTTTTATAAACACAACTCACGTGTACAAATTTAATATTTTTTTTTTATTGAAATAAACTATTTCAATATTATGAATTTACATTATAAACCATTTGGCCAAAAGAAATTAAAAATATTTCATAAAACTTAAAATAACATTCTTCTAAGTATCACTTGAGAATTCCTAATCCTAACTTTTTTTCTAATTTAATTTATTATAAAATTAGTAGGTGATTAAATGATTCTTTATCAAAGAAAAAACAATGTTCACAATATTACATTTGAGATTATGTTCTTAATATATATAGTAAATGGAAAGAAAAAAAGTTTTCACTAAAAGATAATACATGACTAATATTTTGTGTTATGATGCTTCGTAAATAAATATAGAACATTTTTCGATCCCACCTAGTTGTCAACGTATTTCAAATTTTTTAAAAATGAGAAAACACACTTTACCCTAATCTCCTGTCAACCGCTTGAGTAAACGCAATCATTCTATATTATTAAATTCTTTTGCGCGTGTGTTATGATTATTTCTTCTAATATTTTCCCCCTATTCATTTGCAGACCAATTTTTATTTATATTTGTGTTAATTTTTTTTGTACCTACTTTTTATATTTAGATGTAAAAATTTATTGCAAAAAAATAATAATATTCAAAAATTAATTTTAATGAATTCAAAAATATAACTAAAAAGTTAATGCTATATAAAAAAAAAAAGATGACCAACTATTTTTTATATAATATATACTTTTGAAAATGCATAAAACTATATTGAGTTTGTAAAGTTGAAAAATTTCGAGAGAGGAACGCTGAAATAAGGTCATATGTCGCTTTAACTCTAATAAAGTAGACAGAAATAGAGTAGCGGCGTGCCGAATGGGTTTCGGAACACTGGATAAATTCGAACCTCGCTTCTATGGATAATTACCCTTTTTACATTGAATCCGTGCATTGAACTATAACAGAATCAAAATGCGAATCACATTGTTAAAGAGAGGGAGAGAAAGCCATACTGCGCTTTGGGAGAATATATATATATATATATATATATATTTCATGTTAAAACCATTTATATCTTTGTTCAACTGTTGAAAACGTATTGGTAATCCAACTAACAGCAAATACATGATTCTCATAACGATATGAAATGAAATACTCGCTTATATATGTAAACAATTCTAATAGTCCACATAATGAAAGAGGAGACCAATTTAATAATGCTCAGTCTCTCATATATCCATAATAATATATATCGGACAAAATTTCTAAAATGAATCAACATCAAAAATATGAATAGTGGATTGTTTGAAAAATCCCATTGAAATAGTTGCATACAATCAAATTAAAAAATTTTGACCCATATTTTTTTGAAAGTTCTTATCTTGGTTCTTTCGAATAATGTAAACAATTTTTCCAAAAATTCAAAATTTAACCCTTTTTTTAAAAAATTAAAAATATTTTTCACTTTTTCTCAAAATCGGCGTTTCTTAATAAATTTCTTTTTATAAATTTTAAAATTTGTGTTTTCAGTACAAAAAAAAAATTAAAACGTCCTTTTTTTTATTAATTAATAAATAAATAATAAACAATTAAATATTTTTCAAACAAATAAAATTAGCGTAATTCTGTAGTTACCAATCGAAAGCTTGTGTGAAGTTCCGAATGTAACAAACCCCAATATGAAGCATTTTGAATGCAAAATTGCATAAGCTTCCAACTGGTAAGTTCAGAATATAACAGTTCAGTTTATTTGTTTGTAAAATATATAATTTATTAACATTTATTAATTAATATTCCGAAAAAAAGGATATTTTCATATTTTTGAATATGAATATCCCATAAAAATCATTAGCTAGAATTTTTATTTGTATGAATTTCATTTGACAGAATTTCTTTTTAGACGAATTTTCATTTTTCGAATTAGGATTTTTGAGTTACTTTCTTTGTAAACGAAATTTTATTTAATATAATTTTTAGTTTAACAAATATTTTGTTATCTAACTTTTTATTTTAAAGAATTATAATTTAAACCAATATTTTGATTTATCAAAATTCTCATTCAACAGAATTTTAGTTATTCGAATTGTTTAATGTCAGAATTTTTAAACTATTGAATCTCCATGTGTCGGAATTTTTATTTATACAAATTCTATCAAATAACAATTCGTGTAGTTTAAAAATTCTGACATTAAATAATTTACCCCAAAAATCGGTATAAAAATTAGCTGCAACAAATTTTATCCTAGTTGAGGGCGCCACCGTCTATGTGAATTACCATTGGTTAAAATTACCCGCAACAAAATTTACCCAGCGTTTTTTCTCTGTTCAAATTATAATAAGTACTAATGTACGAAAAGGCATGACCCGTCAACTTTCTAAATAAATAAATAAATAAATAAAAATTCGGTATCTAAAAATTATGTTGAATAAAATTTCGTTTATAAAGAAAGTAACTCAAATGCTAATTCGAAAAATGAAAATTCATCTAAAAATAAATTCTGTCCAATGAATTTCATACAAATGGAAATTCTAGCTAATGATTTTTATAGGATATTCATGCGCCTCAAAAAATTATAATTAATAAAAAATGACAATTTTGAGAAAAAGTGAAAAATATTTTTGATTGTCAAACAAATGGGTTAAATTTTGAATTTTTTGAAAAAATTACTACTCACCCACCAGGTTTAAACTATGTGCAAATTTCATCCCGTTCTGAGAAATTTGTTTTTCATTTGGATCGCTTCAGAAATTTTTCCCCATATATGAAAGGAATATTAATTCATATACATTCTTTTTTTTTTTTCTTAATTACGAACGAATTATGAGAATTACACATACATATATATTAACTGTAATGATATTTTCTCTAGGGATTTTTCTAAGGAGATTGTGAAAAATTAGTCACGGAAAACTTAATCAAGTAATGACTGTTGCACAAATATTTCACGCAAAATTAACTTGGAACTAAAGTAATAATAATTGAAGTTAGAAAGCTACATATTAAATCCCTAAAGAGAATGACAAAGCTGAATTGACAAATACTTGTTTACAGTGTATAAAGTCAATTATTACTTATTATTATATACAGAAAGTAACTACATTTAATGTATTAGATACAATTCCATATATGCAAACAGATTATTAATATATAGTGCAAAAAACAATTTTAACAAACTTTTGATGCAAAATAATGAGCTTTAGAAATTATTTACTTATTATTACACACAGTTTTCTTGTAGGTATCAAATTTAAACTCGTCAATCGGATCAAATGCAACATTTTGATTTGATATTAAGAAATTAATCAATTTCTTCACTGCACTGAATTTTTAAGTATTAATTTTATTATCAATTTTAAGAGAGAAGCGAAAATTATTTATAGTGCACAGTTGAATAAGCAAAAAATTTAGTTTAGGGATTAAGTGAAATACACTAACCTATATTTAAGTTTATCACAGCAGATTTAAGGTCAGTTCGTAATCACAAGCACAACAGTTGAAAATTTTTAATTATTTTTTATGATTCAAGTGTCTATCAACAATTTAATAATTTAATGATAAATGAACAAAATTTAAACATCGCACACTTGATAAATATTAATCATGCATTGTCAATTAATGCAATTAATAATTTAAAATAATTAGGAGGAGCTGGGTATTGAGATGGATATTGCGATGGATATTGAGATGGATATTTAGACGGATTTAGAGCTGGATTTTGAGGTGGATATTCAGACGGTTTTAGAACTGGATATAATAATAATAATAATATAATAATAATAACTAGAATAAATATTGTAAAAGTAAAATCAAAATGATAAACGATTCTCAGAAATAATTCTATACAGAGTTGCAAAAACATTTATATGTTGAAAGTAGCTGACAAAAATTAAATTTAATATTATTAATAATAGTATTAATAACATCATTTGTCATAACTTTTCTTATCATAAATTTAAAAAATTTATCATGTTTGATAATGTGTAATAAATATTAATAATGTATGATAATTTCAATTAAGAATTTTATGATTTTAAGAAAATGCTGTTTAAAAAATATGAAATATACATAAAACTTCTGTTAAATGGAGTTTCGATGAAATATAAATTTTCCTCATTTAAAAATGCAGCTAATTAAAATTTCTGTTAAATAAAAATTTTGTTGAATAAAAATTAAATCAAATAGAAATTTTCTTTAATAGAATTTTTATTAAATAAGAATTCTGTTACACAGAAATTGAGTACACCCAAAAAATCAAACCAGAATATAATGCAATAAAATTAAATACTTTAATTATACACAATAAATAAATATATTTTTTTTATGTACAATGTTTTTTATTTTTGATTAATAATTATATAAAACATATATATTACTTAATGTCAATTATTAATAATGCAAAAAATTAAAAGGTAAAATATTTCTTCTAATTATTAGTAATAGCAACATTATTGAAATTAAATTTTTCTGGCGCAAAATCAGTTGTATAATATGGAGCGGCATATGGACGATATCTCCAGTAACTCATTCCTTGGAAACTCTTGGGAGATGAATCTTTGGTTGATTTAACTGAACTCTCGTCAGGTGCATTAATAAATTCACTATCTTGTACATCTAAAGAATGTGGCCAAATACTTCGATATTGACTTTGAAATAGATAATTAGGAGGAGATGGGTATTGAGTTGGGTATGTAGATGGGTATCGAGATGGGTATTGAGATGGGTATTGAGTTGGGTATTGAGTTGGGTAATGAGTTAGGTAATGAGTTAGGTATTGAGATGGGTATCGAGATGGGTATCGAGCTGGGTATCGAGATGGGTATTGAGATGGATATTGCGATGGATATTGAGATGGATATTTAGACGGATTTAGAGCTGGATTTTGTGGTGGATATTTAGACGGATTGAGAGCTGGATTTTGAGGTGGATATTCAGTCGGTTTTAGAGCTGGATTTATCTCTTCTTTGGAATCCTCGAGAGGTAATTCTGTCGTTGAACTAACTTCATTGGCAGTAGCAATTGCCAAAAAGGCTAGAGAGAATAGCTGTACAAAAAAAAAAAATTAGCAAATTAATTTATAATTTTTTGTTTTAAACAGATTATTTTTGCCTGGTTATGTAAAGTTATAAATTACTTTTTAAATTAAAATTACTTCATATATAAATAAAAACAAATGCTACAAAGAATTTTAAATATAAAATATTAAATTTAATTTACTGCAATAGTTGTAATATCAATTTTTGAGAAAATAATTTTAATTTTATTTAGCCTAAAATGTTGTTTAATATTTTTGAATTCATTTTCATATAAAATTCATCAAATCGTGAATATATGTATGTAATATATGTAAGCTATTACTTACAAGTGTGATCTTCATTTTGTTGATTGTCGAATGTTTGACTGTGTTCATAATCATCGGGAGACAGACTTTTATATGCTTCATGTGTTATGATAGTGCGCGCCCCACTTCTTTAAATTAAATTCGCTGATTGTGTTGCATATTCAAAACAAAATATTTCTTGTTTTACATTTTGGAATTTCCTGTCTAATTACACTTGGGAATTTTCATTCTTTATTTTTAATTTATATTCACGTTTCAATAAATTTGTTATTCTATGTTGAAAAATAAAATAAATTTTCAGTCCTATCTTTTTAATGGAAAAATTTCATTAATTCAATTCTAGTAAAAATAGTCATGTGTGACACGATGGTAGCGTTCCTAGTGTTCACTATTCGTAATACTAAACGTCGTACATCGTCAAATATGGTTTCAGATTTGGCAAAAAAAAATTTTCTACTAACAATTAGTCAAAACAACAAAACAAAACAGTCATACTAATTCACTAATTTTAACAAAGAATATTTAATTTGTAAAAAAAAAATTGAAATTTCAAAAAAGAAATTCAGATGAATTTTTCTATTTTATCGAGAGAAGAGAATGTTTTACATCTACAAATAGAATAAAAAATAAACGTATCCAATGAGATAAAACTGAAAATTTCCATGATTCTTATTAGTTAGGAAATTCCGAATTGAAAACAGAAATTCTTTTACTTTAGTTATGTAGCACAATAAAAGTATGATTCTTTAATCGGCGAACTTAATATTTCAAGTAGTGGGGCGCGCATTATCAAAACAATTGAAGCATATAAAATTCTGCCTCCTAATGATTATGAACACAGTCAAACATTCGACAACCAACAAAATGAAGATCACACTTGTAAGTTATAGTTAACAATTACATTATATTATATTATATTATATTATATTATATTATATTATATTTATATGCCTACAATTAAAATATAAAAAATATTTTTAATAAAATGTTATGACTATTATTGCATATCGAAAATTAAAATTTTCTGTTCAAAATTATGAGGCCGTTTTCACCGTATGGATAAATTTAATCCTCTTTGAGGTTAAAGGTAGTAGATATATTTTGCGTCTGCGCAGAATGTTTACTTCTACGCAGACGCAGAATATATCTATGTACTCCCTTTAATTTGTCGGAAGATTAAATTTATCCACACGGTAAAAACAATCTCTACTTGTGACATCTTTTTTTTATTTATAATTATTGTGTAAAGTAATTTGCTTATTGTTTTTCTACAGATATTCATTTTTGCAATTTTGTCAATTGCTTTTGGCAATCCAATTAAGTCAACCGAAGATTCACATGTTGATGACTTTAGAGGAATGCGATATTGTGGACGTCGTCGCTATTACAGGCCTGTTCCACATGAAGCAGAATATCCATCTGGTGGATACTCACCACCAAAACTAAATATTAATAATGTTGATATTACTAATAATTAAAGCAAATCTTCATTTTCAACTTTATTATTATATTATTAAGTAGTATGTTTACATTTTCATTTATTCCTCTCAAAGGAAGCATTGTTATATGTATATTTATTAAAATAAAATAAATAAATATTAATTTTATATGTTAAATTTTTCTCGCATTATTTATTTTATTATCATTACTCTGTATATGATCTTTCTGTGCAAAAAAAAAAATTTTTTTTTTCCTCAAAATACTTAATTTTGAAATACTATACTGAAAATAAGTAGGGAAAAATGGGCAACAGTGGGTGTCATTGTAGTTTTAAGTAAAATTATTTTTGAAAAAAAATCTACTAAACTCTAAAAATAAATAATTTTTATATATATCCACTACAGCGATAAGAATTTAGGCCACATTAATTTTGTATTTATAAAAGAAATTAAAAAAAAAATTTTGTTTTTTGACTTAGCGGAAAAACATTTGCCATAAAATATGAAAATCATTTTTATAGAGTCAGGGTAGTTTTAAATAATAAAGTTTACTTACTATTTTTTTTTTACTTTGGTTCTTAAGTACAATATCCGATAATAAAATACAAAGTTTTTTGCAATATATTTTCTTGTTATTACTTATCGTATACAGTTTTTTGTTATATAATTGGCACTAATGCAGTTGTCAATGAAGTCAACAACGTCAACAAGATTCCTAACCTAAAAATTTTATTATTTAATTTCGTTAATTTGTGTAAATCAACTTTAAGAATTAAAGTTTTTTTTATGGCTACATGTTTGTTTATTAAAAATAATCAATTTATTTAATATTTTTTTTTAAGTAATTATTTTTATGTCCACGATAATTTGACATTAATTTTGAACTCAAAATGAATATGACCGTGTTCTACTGCACCAAACAAAAATTGTGCACGTTTTTTAAGTTGATATTCGTCATTTATAGTCAAAATAAAGAAATTTTTTGATAAAATATTTATATTAAGTTATTTAAAATATGATTTACTTTTTTTTATCATTTTGTAAAATAGATATGGATAAATTAAAATCATAAAGATAGAAAACAAGAGAAAATGTCATATAATATAATAAATGATAACTTACAGGTGAAAATTACGTCATGTGACACAGGTTGTTTTTTTTACACATATTACACAGTAGAACGTTATTCTATACACTTATATTAAAAACTTTGCAATAAATATTATCAACTATCAATGTGATTTTCACACGTGTTCACCGTGGTTCACCGGCATTTGACAACAGTGTCGCCGCAGCCATGACACTTTATCATTCAGTTTCTTAGCTGTCGCGCATGCGTGACTGAAAAGAGACAAAGACAAAGAATGGTTTTATTTTCTTTCTCTTTCTATCAAGCTAACACTTACGGTAGGGCTTTATGTATATTATCTCTATGATATAGATATTAAAAATTTTGTTATAACCTTTAAATACTTTTCAAAGGACCCCGCACAAAACATAGGGGAAAAAATTTTCGGTCAAATTTTTTTATACTTTGAAGTTTTGTAGCTTATTATCTCCTGAATAAAAAATGTTAATGGCAAAACCCCCGAAATTCAATAGTTTTTGACTTACACTATTTTGAGCCTCAATAAATGGGAAAAAATTAATCAAGTTTCGTAAGGATTGCATAAGGCTTACTCAAAGCTTAAGGCTTCTTTACGGCTTAAGACTCAAGGCTCAAGGCTTGATAAAGACAGGCAAGGCAGGCTTATGGCTCAAAGCTCCAATAAAGCTCAAGGCTTGCTCAAGGATCCATGCACTCCTAAGCACCAAGTCTTCTTACGACACCAGGGTTGATTGTAACTCAAGCTTTGATTATGGCTCAAGACTTGGTTCTGGCTCAAATCTTGTTTATGGATTAAGATTTAATCGTACTTCAAGATTTGGTCCTGAATCAAGGCTTGATCATGGCTGAAGGCTTGTTCATGGCTCAAGGCTTGGTATTGGCACATGGCTTGGTTCTGGTTCAAATCCTGTTTAAGGATCAAGACTTGATCGTGGCACAAGACTTGGTCCAAAATCAAGGCTTAATCATGGTTCAAGGCTTGGTCTTGCATTAAGGATTGGTCATGGATCAAGACTTGATCATGGTTCAAAGCTTGTTTATGGATCAAGACTTGATCAAGACTTAATCATGGCTCAAGGCTTGGTTCTGGTTCAAATCTTGTTTATGGATCAAGACTTGATCGTGGCTCAAGACTTATTCTGAATCAAGCCTTGATCCATGACCAAGCCTTAAGTCATTATCAAATCTGCATCCATAAACAAGCTTTGAGCCATGATCAAGTTCTGATCCATAAACAAGGTTTGAGCCAGAACCAAGCCTTAGCGATAATCAAGCCTTGAGTCATTATCAAGTCTTGAGCCATAATCAAAGCTTGAGTTACAATCAACCCTGGTGTCGTAAGAAGACTTGGTGCTTAGGAGTGCTTGGATCCTTGAGCAAGCCTTGAGCTTTAATGGAGCTTTGAGCCATAAGCCTGCCTTGCCTGTCTTTATCAAGCCTTGAGCCTTGAGTCTTAAGCCGTAAAGAAGCCTTAAGCTTTGAGTAAGCCTTATGCAATCCTTACGAAACTTGATTAATTTTTTCCCATTTATTGAGGCTCAACATAGTGTAAGTCAAAAACTATTGAATTTCGGGGGTTTTGCCATTAACATTTTTTATTCAGGAGATAATAAGCTACAAAACTGCAAAGTATAAAAAAATTTGACCGAAAATTTTTTTCCCCTATGTTTTGTGCGGGGTCCTTTATTTAAAATTTTGAACTAATAAAGATTTCAATTATTGATGAGAATAATTATTGAAATATTTGTTTCGTATTTAAGGTATTTCTCCGGCAAAATCGATTTTCGCTAGAATTTTTTTAAACTCTGTTTTATGTACTTTATAAGTGGTAAAAAAAACCCAGTACCCCTTGCCATGCTAAGAACTGAGAAATTTAGGTTCAAAGTTGCACCAGTTAACATAGGATTCCTATCTGAACATACAAAACTCACATATTTTATTGAATTATTTAAAAAGTTATCGATAGATTTTTTTTTAAAAACGAGTATATTGTAGAGTGGAATTAATAGAATAATATAAAAAAAAAATTTAAGTAGGTGTATCCATGCTAATTTTTGAATTACAACGTTTAGAAGTAGAAAAGTTAGGTTATCTATAGATTTTTCAAGAGAGTCAAGTATATTACTCGCGATTTTTGAAACTGAATAACTTGTTTACAGTAAAACGGAAAAATCTGGGATTTTGGGAGTATTTAAATATTCACTAAATAAACACACTCCAAAAGTCTTGCGTTGGTTTTTGAGCTATTTTGTAAGATAAAGCAGATCGAAATTTCATTACTTTTGAGGCTATATTGACAATAATTTGTTCTTAACTTGAAGTTGGCTCGCAAGTGTTGTCATTTAATATAAACAAATATGAATTTATTACAAGGCTCGACACTTGCGAGCCAACTTCAAGTTAAGAACAAATTATTGTCAATATAGCCTCAAAAGTAATGAAATTTCGATCTGCTTTATCTTACAAAATAGCTCAAAAACCAACGCAAGACTTTTGGAGTGTGTTTATTTAGTGAATATTTAAATACTCCCAAAATCCCAGATTTTTCCGTTTTACTGTAAACAAGTTATTCAGTTTCAAAAATCGCAAAAATTAGCAAAGTGGC